AAAATTTTATCAGTGGAATAACAAAGGCTGACATTAAAGTGTGAAAATTTTATTCTTTCTGATGTTTTTGAGATGGAAGGAGCTATTAGAGTTCTTATTTTGGATTATGTCTAAAATGGGAGGCAGAGTTGACATTTTAGGCTCCACAGTGTAACCTCATAGTGCCTCTGAATTTGGTAGCAAATTTCACAGGACCAGTCCATTGTATGTTTATTATGAGACATTTCTAGATCAAACTTTTGCTTCAAAGGTGTCTCCACACTCAAGTTCTTGCACTTCTCCAAGATGGCTTCTGTCTGTCTGCCTCTGGTATATGCTTATGGGGCTGCAGAATTTTTATGTTGTTCTGGCCAGCTGAAAGCTCTTAGTATGGTTTGATGGAAGCTCCTGAGTGTCTTTTCCTTGTTACATGTTCTTTCCCAGGCTGGAAAAGCAACTTGTTGTTCCCAGTGAAATAGCTTGTCCCAGGGCTAACAGTAAATAACTTCTCATTTTCTACTTGTGGGTGTTCTGCTGCTTGTGAGAGACCCACCTGGTTGACTCTCCTCAATTGTGGATGATGCCCAGCACTTCTGAAAATAGGGCTTGGGTTGGGCTTGTTGGGAAAACCTAGTATATCCSTCAGGTTCTGAGAATGTGCTCAGTAGCTCCTAGTACAAACAGCCTGCTGATATGACCCTGTTAGCCCCAGGTCACAATTCCTTACCACTGGGCCTTGCCTTGCTGTCCTGCTCTGGGCATTAGAGTGGGTTTGAAAGACTCCAGTGCTTAATCTCCAGCCGTGGTCGCTGGTGCCTTGCTATGGGACCAACTGTTATATAATGAACTCTGCTTCTGTGGTAGATGTCCCAGGGTAGGCCGGCCATGAAAATCCCAAATTCTGAATAGCTCTGACAACAGTGACTTAATAACAGTTCTCACTGCCTCTGTCTGTCTCCCAAGTAGTAAATATGGGTCTGAGAGTCCYGGAAGAATTTCTCCCACTCAAATTCTGGACCTTTCAAACTGCTAACTTATGATTGCTAAAGCACCCATTTCTATGATCCTGTCATCAGCTTTTTTGCCTCTTGCAATCCAGAGTTGCTAGTGGGGCTGTGCCACAGACAGCCTTGTRCAGACTGGTTTTTAGGCTAGGCACCTGTGATTCCAGTGAAAGGGGGGGGGGGGAGAGAAAAAGAAAAGATGGAAACTTGTTGGATCTTGTGAATGTTGAAAATAGGATATTAAATAATATTAATACCAAAGCATGGAGATCCCAGCTCTTTCAGGTACACAAAGGTGCCCCTCTTAAGASGAATCCTTGTCCTACTCTTATGTCTTCTGTAGGAAATACAGTTCTGGCCCTGAGTYACACTGGTTTGTTGCACTGTATTTAAGTTTCTTTTGCTTAGACTGTTTATCTAATGGTAATATCAGAAGTTCTTGAGATCTTTATGATTCCTCTTTTTTCTCCCCTTATGGATGAGCTTTGTGTAACCAGTGTTCTAGAATACTATTTGTTAGATCAGGCAACGTGGGCAGCAACTAAAGGAGGCAGATTTAAAAAGGCCAGYGAATAGGCTTTCTTTGAGATATCACTCCTGGGCGGAACTCCTTCAGACCTACWGAGTGGACAGGAGAAGGGCCTGAGGAGAAACCCCGTGAGAGCTCGASTGGACTGGGATTTTATGGGGCTTAGGCAGGAAGGGAAGGGCTTGGGACAGGAAAAGGTGTTTTAGAGTCCCCTGTCCTGCTGGAGTTGGTGGGGGGTGGGTGGSGGGGGCTGCYGGCTGGCTGAACTCCTGGATTGGCCAGGGGGTCCTGATGATTGACAGGCAGTAGTCAGGMGATCCTGCTGATTGACAGGTTTTTCTGTCAGTGCCTGATTGATATTTCTTTCCCGCACTGGCTGCTTTGTCCTAAGTCACTGCTACCAACCTGACACTATTGTCTCCACCCCCCAAACTCTTTAKTTTCTGAAAATAAATAACCACCAAACAGCTGTTCCTGTGCTTCTCTGAGTTGGTATCATCTCCTCTCCCAGCAGACACCCRTTGATCTGATTCAAGCAGGGAGCAGCCAGTATGCAGTGATTGGTACTCATCTGCCTGTTTCCCTCTTTTTGTCTTTTTCACTCTTCCTGTTGGCCTCACTCTGGTCAGGGTTCAGGATGGAGAATTCTTTCTTATTTTATGCTTAGTAATCAAATTCCAAKTCCTTCCAACTTTCAAATCTTTTCTTTGACACCCACTTCCTTGCTCAGCTGTTCTTTCACTACTTGATTGTGGACWTTTCTTTAACTACTTTGATTGAGGGTGGCTGCCTAGATCTGCTCTGCCATCTTTCTTTGTCCCTGACAGGTTTCTTTTTTACCTTCATTTTATTTATTTATTTTTTACTTGGTGCTGAGGATCAAACACATGTGCTAGGTGATAGCTCTACTGCTGAGCCCCAGCCCCAGCCCCATGTTTCCTAAGTGATAGGTAGCAGACAGATGTGAGCTTTAAGAACTGAGGTTAAGAGGTTCATTCTATAAACTGGACCTACATGCTTTTCCCCACATGCTTTCTTTTAAAAAGCGCTTCACTGGATTGGGGATGTAGCTCAGTGGTAGAATACTTGTCTCACAGGCATATTGGAGGCCCTGGGTTTTATCCCCAGCATCTCCACTCCCAACCCCCCACCAAATGCAGTTTGCCTGYAGCCTTATCCTGGCATTAGTCAACAGGATATGTTACATTCCTTAGGAWGCAGCCTGTTACCTGTAAAACAGACACAGGCCCCAAAGGCTCTTTCTTGCTTAAAAGAAAACAAGGTTCCCTGAAGGACTGAGACTTTTGTGACCTTTACACAGATTGCAGTACTCAAGGAGACAGGATAATCAGAAGCAAAACCCCATAACCATAAAATCTTTTAATAACAAGTTCCAATTAGGACCAGTCACCATAGGCCAAGGTGACTCAGGATTGCCTTGGATCTTTGGCATATCATTTCAATAGAAAAATCTTCYCTCCTTTTGTTAAGACTTGTATGGTGGGAACTTGAATGTCTGATGCAATCTTACTGTCTATCAGARTTCAAGAGGTGGACCTTGGCAGGACTCTGGAAACTTCCCTGGGATCCGTGATAAAACTGGAAGGCAGGAGAGGTATACTGTCCTCATCCTTTCAGAGGGACCAACTTCCTCTCCCTTTTTCCTTTTTCCAGTCTCTTCTAATAAGCTTGCCTGCCTCTGTGTGCAACTCCTCTGCAATCCATCCAGCATCACACGAGAAACCGTGACTGGACCTCCGCAGTTGCTGTGGCTCCACAGATGGCCTTGCTCTGTAACAGACAGAACTTGTCTTCTCACAAATGAGTGGGAGAGCTATCCTTTCCATTAATCATTCTCTGTGAAAGATGATAACTGAAAAGAACATGTAATTTTTGGGGTGAGGAGAATGGACTGTGGGAGATGTAAGCATGACTGAGAATGAGGACAAGAAAATTAAACTTTAGTGGGCACACCAGAGATGATGTGAGGAGATCAGTGAAGTGGCCTGAAGGAGGGTCACATGTTTGATATCCTAGAAGTAGGTCTGGGTGTATGGGGAGCTAGAAACTGAGAAGGAAAAGCATAGACAGCGACGAGGAGTATCTCTAAAACACCTTTTCTAGAACAATTCTGAACTTTGTATAACAGCATCTGTCTTTGGAACAAAGTTCTTTCTTGTGTCAGTTAGGGTGCTGAGTTGGGTACCAACAATATACAGTGTGTGCTAAGGTGCATACAGCTGTAATATGCATATTTAAAATTCACGTCCACTGCAGTGATAAGCCACTGAGCAGTGGAGATGGGAAGACAGACTTCAGTTGATGCCTAACCCTGTTTGAAGCAACTTGGACAGAATAGAATAATGGCTCCAGATGAATAAAAATCCAGAGTTTTGGGGTATCTTTGGAAACTTCTCATATGATGATACTCTTAGACAAAAGTGCTATGTACAGGCTTCAAATAAGCACTCACACACAAGCACAGCAATTTAACTTGGAGCTAAGTATTCTCAGTTTCAATTTGAATCCGGTGAATAATGCTGCTCAGGTACACGCTAGGTGAGCTTTTGGTGGTCACTTGGAGCAAAGTAGTGCTCCCCTAATACATCTTAATACCATGAAGTGTTTTTTTTATTATGATTGCATCGCCCTTGTAGTAAAATAACCACATGGTTGTATATTTTAAAGTAGCTCAGTAGATAAAATTCCAAATTTTAGAAGATACATTTGAGTGATTTAGGTTTATGAACTTAAATTATTTATGAATATTGGAATATGACATATAATGATTCTCATTACTGAGATCCCTGAGGGAACTGAAAACTGGCTTCTGTGGGGAAAGAACATTGTATTAGTGGTCCAGAATCCTTTGCTGTGGGTCTTAACTTCCTTGTTACCAGTGCAGGGCTTGGTCGTCTACATCTGGGTATTTGCCACCTCCTCTTAGTCATTAAGTCTCTGAGTTAGTCTGTTTTCTGCCATATCAGAATACCATACAGGGTTATTTATTTATGATGAAAAGAAATTTATTGCTTACAGTTGTAAAGTCTGGGCAGTCCARAATCAAGGTGCTGGCATGAGGTGAGGGCTTCCTTGGGTAATGATCTGGGGTGGAGGATAGAGGATAGAGTCTGCGGTTATCTTTCTATTTGGATCCCATTTCCTCCATAAGGAACCCACTCTTGTTATAGTAGAATTATCCCATTCACAAGGCAGAGCTTTTACAACCTATTCATCTATTAAAGGTCCCATCTTAATACTGTTACAACGGCAATTAAATTTCAACAGGAGTTTCTTGGGGGGATTTTTCTAAACATATCAGCCTCTGCCATCATAATTTCTTAATTGATCTTCCTGATGTGTAGAGGGGACAGTGGGGAARGGTATATGTCTTTAGGAAAGTGGGGAACTGGTGGGAGACACAAAGGACACACTTTACTCTCCAGAGAGTGAAATCTGACTTGGGCTGTGCATGTGTGCTCTTTCAGAATCTGTGAGGAGTGTCTATGATGGTTTGTTCAGCTCTCAGGAGGGCTGCCCATGCACACGTCTGCCTGGTGAGGAAGATCAGTCCTGTCAGCAGAAACCATCAGCATCAAGTGTGGGGCTCCAGGCCGGCTGCATCAGAGTTTGTTGCCCAAGGAGCTCCAGGCAGTGTCACAGAGTTGCTGGGCAAGTCCTACCCTCAGGATGACCATACCAACCTCACCCAGAAGGTCCTGTCCAGGGTTGGCAGGAACCTGCACAACCAGCAGCACCACCCTCTGTGGCTGATCAAGGAGAGAGTGAAGGAGCACTTCTACAAGCAGTATGTGGGCCGCTCTGGGACACCACTATTCTCAGTCTATGACGACCTTTGTCCAGTGGTCACCACCTGGCAGAACTTTGATAGCCTGCTCATCCCAGCTCACCACCCCAGCAGGAAGAAGGGGGACAATTACTACCTGAATCRAACTCACATGTTGAGAGCACACACTTCTGCACACCAGTGGGACTTGGTGCATGCAGGACTGGATGCCTTCCTGGTGGTGGGTGATGTGTACCGGCGTGACCAGATTGACTCCCAGCACTACCCAGTTTTCCACCAGTTGGAGGGTGTTCGGCTCTTCTCCCAGCATGAGGTGAGTCTTGAGATGTTTCTCATCTCTGAAGGACATCATTTACATTTTGTGCTAATGTCAACAAAGGTTATCTCAGTAAAGTTGGTAGAATCAGTCTTGATTTTTATTTTGCTATAGTGAAGCATCCATTTTTTTATACCTTTATTTCATTTATTAATTTTTACRTGATACTGAGGATTGAGCTCAGTGATTCACATGTGCTAGGCAAGTGCTCTATTACTGAGCTACAACCCTAGCCTGAAGCATCCGTTTTTCATGATGTCTTTTGTACATGGTTTCTCACCCTCTATTGTACATGGCAGATTTGTTATTAATATAACTTCAGAAATCAGATATTGTTTTCTCTTGTCTGACCTTATCCTTTCTCTCAATACTCACCTGCTTTTCTCCAAGTTACGGCTTGTGAATGGATTGTCTGTGGCTCAAATTCACTCTTATCCAGATTGACTAAAGATACAACCCTGAAACCTGTGGTCAGGTTATTTCAGTTCTCAGTTAGTAGAAGTTAATTATGTTTTCATGCTGTTAGAGATAATGAACTTCTTATATACCTTAGGGGATTGGAGATGTATTGGCTTCAACTCTAAACTGTGTTCTCATTCCTAAGCTCTTTCTTTACTCTCATTCAAATGATGATTTGGAATGTCTTAATTGCTGTTGTTTTTGAAGTGTGTGTTTGAGTGCATAAAACTTTTTTAGTCAAGAAGTCAAATACTCTGGCCATTCTCAGAAACACTCAACTCCTTGCTTCTGTTATATTGTTAGTGTAATATATTAGATGCATTTTTGCAAATTACAAAAATTCCTAAATAGCTTGAGTCCATTTCCTAAAGAATTCTATCATTTATCCTTAATTCGTATGTTAATTCGTATGGCTCCATTTTCATTGTGAGAAAGAAGTAGAATTAAAGTAGGCTCAGGAAGTATTTCATTTACTCTTGTAGCAATCTCCTTCCAAATATTGCTCATTGGAACAGGAGGAATTATTATGGTCACAAAACTCCCTTCTGCAAACACAAGCTAAATTGGCTGTTAATATGAAAATAAATAGTAKAGGAACCTTAGGCTAATAAATAACCATTGTTGTATTGTATTAAATAAGTCATTAGCTGGGAAGGACTGGATGAGACTGTCTCCTCATTCTCTTTTCTTTCTGCTTGATTCCGCAGGTGAATCTATGATATCCTGTGAATCTATGATAATTCAATAATGGGTTAGCCTTCCCAAAAGGCCATCAGAGCCGTCTCTGGGGAGCTTAGAGTGGTCTTACTTCTTGGAATAATTGACTGTTTTCTAAATTAGGAATAATAACTATTACAAAGAATGTGGATGTATTAGGAAACTAAAAGAAATGAACAAAGACAGGTCAGAGTCTCGGAAATATGACCAAGTGATAGAATGTCACTTACAATTAATCTGCAAGAGGGGCTGTGATGCCGGTAATGTGATGTACAGGTCACAGCACTGGACAGGTGTGCAGTCCAGCTTACCTCATTAGAGAAATAAAACAGGAACGTGCACACTGATGTTTATAAGCCTGCCTGCCGTGGGAGAGGCAATGAAGGCTATGAAGTCTATGAGATGCACACTAGCATTTTAATGGAGGGAAAATCCAGGCTACCACAGAAGATGGAAAATAGGAGGGTGGTGGTGAAATAGCCCTTTCCTTGGTTCATGTTTGTTTGGGTTCAGTCCAATTTAGCAGGGAACATGCATGGCTAATCTAGTCAGATAAAGTTACTGCGTGTTCTGATTTATAGTTTAAAAATTACTGCACACAGGAGCATGTGAGTCTGATTTCCTTATAATTTGATAAGGTGCTTTYAGTTCATAGTTTCATTTACTGCTCTTAATAAAAATTGTGTGAGGTAGATTATTTCCACTTCAATATAAGGAATCTGAGGTCTCAAAAGGTTTAATGACTTGCAAAAGGATGTGCAGCCAGTCAGCAGCAGAGCGAAACCTGGAACATGAGTCTTCTGAATTCATTGCCTAATTTACTGTATTTTCTTGATTTCCACAGAACTGCTTTGTAAGGGGCACCTGCTTAAGACCCAAGGGGAGCTTGTCTTTCATCAGTGGGAGTGGGGAGGAGAGAGACGTAGTGGTTTCAGAATTTCTGTTCTCAAAGTATTGGTTCTAAGTATGATCTAATCTTAACCCTCAAGAAATTCTTTTTTTCTTTTCATTTTTCTGTGGATAGGAATTTTATATATGTACATACATGTACAGATACATATATAGWATTTTATATACATATATGAATACATATATAGATGCACACACACATATACATACATACACATGTACATACATACTGGGGATTGAACTTGCCAGTGCTCTGCGATTGAACTGCATCCCCAGCCCTTGTACTTTTTATTCTGAGGCAGAGTCTCATTAAGTTGCCCAGGCTGGCCTCGGACTTGCAGTCCTCCTCCCTCAGCCTCCTACAAATGTCTGCCACCATACCTGTCTATTTCTTGTTATAAAGCTTTCCTGTTATTAAATAATCTTTGTAATCATTTAAGTATAATATGTAATTCAGCAAGAAGAAAATTGTAGAATTACAGGGCCAAAGAAACAATGATGCGCATAGAAAGGAAATGAACTATGACAAAACATTGTTTTATCTGAACATGGGGGAAAAACCCTTTTGTGTTTTGAAAAAAAGATAAAATGAAAACTACAAATGACTCTAACAAATTGGAAGGGGCAATGAATAAGTAAAGTCTGCTAAAGTTTTCACATTTAGGGAAAGGATACTGAGTTGACTCCATGCCTTCCATACTGATACAGTGAAAAAATAATAGTTTAGAAAGCTTTGTCAGTTTAAAAGAAGTCAGCATAAAGGAAATAAAAGGAAGATGGTAAGTAGGAATGAAAAATATAGGCATAAATTCAAATATATCAGTATTTACAAATTAAAATGGGTTAAACTTAGCAATTAAAGAAACTCATTACTAGATTAAATATTTAGAGAAATCTGAAACAAAGGACACCTAATGTTGAAAATAAAGGATGGGAAAGTGATATATGCAGCAAACGATTACCAAAAGAAGATGGGTATAGCAGTACTGTTCTTAGGTAATATAGAATGTATAGAAATGATGATAAATACGGTATAATATATCAAGCAACAACCCTAATAAATTATGAACTTTTATGTATGCAGTATTTTAACCTTAATACATAAAGTGAGACTGAAGAATTAAAAGTTGAATTTGCCAAGTTCTTGATTATGGTAGAAGATTTTATTTTTGTTAAAAAAAAAAAAAAAGCAAAACAACAACAATAAAAAAACCCACCACCACTGTGGATTAAGCAGAAAACATGAGTAATGATAAAGGCTATCTGAAAACCATGATTAAAAAGCTCGATTCATTTTATTTTTAAAATAGGAAACTGTATTTATATGTGAGTGCATATGAATTCTGTCATTTTTATAAATGTTTTGTGTCTACATATGGATGTCCATTTATATTCTGTACCCAGGGGTCAAATCTATATAGTTTTTTGGAATATTTAAAATAAATTGCCCATTATTAGTTGATAGGTGAAGTCTAAACAAATGTGAAAGAATCTATAACATGGATCTATGCCTGCTTGACTATATTGTAGTTTGTAGTTAGAAAGCAATTTTAAAGAATGATGAAAATTTTCATGGCCTCATAAATTTAAGAAATTCACAACTCTAGATTCATGAGTAGAGAAATATTATATTAAATTGTGTATTACTTACCACTCACCAACAGTGAAAATACTCATTTCATATTGCTCATTTGTTGGGAGAGATTGTCACTTTATGATGGAGAGTATTGCTAGATTCTACTTAAACCATACAGTCATAGCATTAAAAAGGCAAAAGTAATGAGATGTTGATAACAGGGTATTTTTGGCATATTTAGTTTTAAATGTGTTTATTTAAAAACATTGGAACCTCTCAAAATCAATGAATTCAATATTTACTTTAAGATGCTACAAGGAATTTTTTTTTTAATCCTAGGAGACAGGTTGGTATGCCTATTAATAATATCCCTAGTGTTTCCAAGTGATACATCAGCTGAAACAGTGAAACAAAAAAGTGCAAATAACATCTACAACACAACTAGGTGACAAGATATTCACAAAAGGATGGGAAGTTAAAACTTATAGCTAGAAGTTCTGTACTGTTAGTAATTGAGGTCATAGAGGGACACAGTGGTACCTGAGAGAAGGACATCTTCCTAAGGGATATTTTCAAATAATAAGCATTGGGCACCAAATTTACTAGTGACATTTTGACAAAATGTGTTAATTTTATGTTCATTAATGAGTACTAATATCTCAAAAATGGGGTCAGTCTCACTTCTGTGTCTCTGATGGAACAATATGATACCAACAGTAAAGACTTGCCTGAAAAGTTGGCGTTGATGAAGTTATAGATTCAACTCCCACATTTATAGGACATATAGAGGACAGATARATAGCTGAAATCACATAGAGATGTAAAAATCTAAATCTAGACTATGGGAAATTTATATCAGTGTTGCTCAAGATGAGATATGCAGAATATAATAGGAACGAAAAGTAAATAGTTGTATATCTTACTCTAATTAGGATCCTAGTCTTGGGGGTGTATAAATATATCAAAATACATTCTACTGTCATGTTTAACTAAAAAGAACAAAAATCTTAAAAAAAATCTATAAAAAAATTTTAAAAAGAAAGTAAATAGTAGAAATGTTTAAGCACTGCAGAGTGTTTACAAATGTGCAAGTTGTCCTCCTCCAGCATGTCCSTGTACTTTTTGTGTTAGCATGTAGATGGTTTCAGATGTTCTTAAATGCTCTTTCTGAGTTGCACGAGTGTAGTTTGTGTACTTGTTGTGTGTAGTAGGCTCCCATCTCAGTTYATGACCAATTGGAAATATAAAAATGTTCCTTTGTCAGTTCGAGAAGCTKTGTTCTGCATTAGTGACCCAATATCTTTAAGTAAATTCACAAAAACAAGAAGAAATGACA